TAAGGAGAGTACCAGGAGGCAGGGAAAAGCAAGCTCTCGTTTACGACGTTCGAGGAAATTAAAAATTAACGTCGGCGAATTGATTTCTCGGGCCGGAGGTCGGAGTGAACCTCGCGCTTCCGCGTGTTGTTAATTAAAATATAATTTTCCATGAGAATTATACATTCAAATTGATGGAGATCAATTTGAAGGTAGCGCGCATTATTGCGACCTTTCGAAGCGAGCCAAGGCGTATCGGGGCAAAGTTTCGTACCCAAAAGTCGCCACGTCACTCACGACGCGACAACCCTCCAAGCGGAATCGTTCGCTCGTGTCGACGGGGTTGCGATTCGCTCGCGCAGTCGTTCACGAGATCTTCATCGAGGCGCGGCACTGTGCGAAGCTCACCCACCGATGTATGTACACGCTTCATTTCTCATTTGCGCGCGTACATCCCCACTCGGGACGAAATCGCGTGGCAAAACGAGCGTCAAGGGACGCGAGCGATCAGCGTCACATTTTCCAGCGCGCGTCATCCGCGTCAATCATCCAGGAGAGGGAGATTCCTCACAGGGACGTCTCGTTTCATCTGGAGACCCCAACTTGCGTTTATTTCGCGAATTTCTGTTTCTGCAGTCTTACACTGAAAGACAAAATTGGCTACAGCGAATTAGATGGTAAAATATGGCGTTTTATCGAAATTCTATACTGATATTGCGGATAGACTAACGCAACCAAAAATTAGCTGCCGCAACCAATTAAAAATCCTATGTCATATTCAGCCAATTTTTTTTTTCAGTGTAAAACAGTGCGCAACTTTTAATACTTGCGATCTCTTTCCCCTAGATAGAAATTTGACGCGACCTATTAATTTTTTTACCATACACTAAGAAAAAAATAGCCGAAATTTAAATAAATATCTATTTGAATACCGCCAACTGAACATTTACTTACAATAAATAAATATTTACTTAATAAAAAGAAGTGATTATTAAGTCAAATTTTTTTTGTACCAAATGAATATATTTTTATGTTTAATAAATATTTAGTTGATACTATTCAAATAAGTATTTATTGAAATTTAGGATACTTTTTTCTCAGTGTAACATATTAATGAAAGTTCATTGTGTTAACGGATGCATACGGAAGGACAACAATTTTGCTAAAAATTTAGATATTATTTTCAAATATAGATTTAAAAATATGTATAATATTATTGGACTATTAAAATGTAGGATGCTTAACCTGGTTATTAGAATATTAGAATGTCAAAATTTTTTGCAGTATTGTGCTCAAGATTTCTACATACTTATTTTAAATATAAAATATAATTATTTTAATTATTTTTATTGTTTGATAAAAGGATTTTTAAATCTGTATCTATCTAAATTTTTAGATGCTTCAGCTAAATCGTTCTTGCTGTATATACATATATTTTACTAATTTTTGGAATATTTCAATACGTATAGTTTTTATATTTTAAAACACATTAATCCATATTAAGAGCGAAAAAAATTTTGCAATTTCTAATAACTTTAACGTAACCTACATAATCTCATTATCTTAAAAGAATAAATTGTAGAAAATGTGTAAATATGCATCCATCTACCACACATACAGAAATAATAATAATAATCCTTTCCGTTTTTTATTGAGTCATTTTTGCGTTCAGACACGATTGTCCGCTTCGCTGTAATTAAACTGTGTCACGCAATTTAAGCGATATTTAGAGAATTAAGTCATCTCGCGCGTCAGAATTCTTTGGAGCATGCGCTTCATTGCTATGAAAATATTAATCTTAGGAATAAATTTGTTTGCGACAGAGAAAGTAGCAACTCCCAATCAAATTTTATGAGAATGTTTGAATGGGAATTAATTTTAAAGGAATGTTTGACGCATTTATTTTCGCTTCGGCCAATGGGTGATTCATTACAATTTATCGTGGGATATTGTCACGTACAATAACCATTAACTAGCATTAAATATTGCGAACTTTCAATTAGAAGGGGCTTAAGGTGTACTTGGAATAGTACGGATAATTGAAAACTTGATGCAACCAGAAATTTATTTTACGAAGCAATCTCAGTGTTCAAAAACTCTTAAGGAATTATTATTTTCGAATCCCCCTGTATTAACTTGTGATTCCGAGAATTGAAAGACTGGAGAACGGCGAAGAAGTGAAGAGTCTCGCTTTTACGCGCGGTTAGAACAAAGCCTTAAGGCCGCCCATCTAATTGTGAGGTCTTCGATCGAATCAGAGAGATTGAACTTACGACGAAACGGAGACGCTCATCCGCCGAATCAACCATAGCACGTATATCGTGACTCGATAGATTCATTTCTCTCGGACTGCCCACCGTGGCGAGAAACACGGCGAGAGAACGCTCACATCGGCAATCGCTGGCGAATCTTGTACAAACGAAATAATCCAAAGACAATGTCAAAAGTTAGCCCGAACGCGACCGCAAGTTCCAGTCACGCGAAACACTATGCGATCGCGCGGCGCAATGCTCGCGCGGCTGATGACGCTTATGAATTAATTAGATAATAACCAGCGACAATTAGAGTCGAAGGCACGGACGCATGAAAATACCATCTGCTTCTCATCTCCCGGAAAAGTTTCCTGGCAAAGTCGTGCGGCGGTCTGAATGCAGCGCGAATAAACAAACGGGCGTGCCTCCGTTACGGTAAATCCGTTTCGCTTCAGTTCTGCGTTAATGGCTGATTGAAATTTTCCGGGAAAATGTATTCACGTATTATTAACGATTATTTACGCGCATTGAGGAAGTTTTTTACAAGCCTGCAAAAAATGCTGATTCGCAACATTTATAATTATTCTCGAATCGTAAATTAATTTACTTCCTGAAGATGACTCAAACCGGCAGCCGAAACATATTGCAAACATTGTTTCAATTTTAATTTAATGTAATTACAGTCGATTTCTATTTCTTAATTTTTTTTACTTGTGCTTACTTAATTTTTTATATTTGTGCGAACTTTATAACCGACTCTTACATGTCCTTTCTATTATTTATATTGTCAATTTGACATCAAGAGCCTTTGTATTGATTAATTTATTTTTGATGTACTTTAATATAAAAAAAACTCGGAAAATGAAAAATTTATTTTTACAAATCACGTTACAGAATTAATCTCGTAAACTTTACAGTTCTCAAAATTTTTTAATCTACAATAAAATCTGTGCTTTAAAAATAAATTTTTTATTTAGGAATCTTTTTATACATAAAATTGAAAATATTTTTACTTATTCAACATAATTATAATCATAAATATTAGTTGATTTAAATCACACTTAATTGGAGTCTTGACATTATTTTTCGCGTTTGAGGAAAATAATCTCTGAATAGATCGTGATAATCATGTATTTGCACTACAAAGCTCAAATATTTCGCGAAGGAGATAAACGATTCCAACCAAACAGTTTTAAGGTGTACTCATTTACGCGGCTTGTTTATCGGCCTGGTAATTTGTTTGGAACGTACGTAAGGCCGATAAAAATTGAAGTGGTTGCCGCAAATGATAAACGAAAGCCTGAATTATCGAACGCGAATGTACTGTCTGTTCCCATATTGTTTCCAGCGCGAGTTCATTTAATTGCGAGCTAATCGCTGTCGCTCGCGCGTATAATTTGCGATTAAGAATCGCGTTTAGGAATTCAAATGCGGCCCAAAGGGTGAGAGCAACGTTCTCGGACGCGTTCGATGAGTCACATTTAGTATTGTTTGTGCATGCGCTCTAATTACTCGAACCTTACTGGTTTGTACCATCGCCTGATAGCGAAGTCCGCACGCTTCCGCGCTACATTCTCAGACGCAAACGACCGCGAGTACATTCGACGCAGTCATCGCGGATACGGGCGTGTATCGTACAAGCAAAAGTTTGTTCAGGAGAGTGAAAGAAAACTTTTAGCAATTAAAATTAAATTAAATGAGAATGCAAACAGAAACTATACAAACTAGATCTGATACCGAGATATTTTTTCGGTGATAAGAATCTTTTAATCACTTAACTTTTATTACGCACAAATAATGATAACTTTGCTGATTTATCACAGATCCCTTTTATGTAATTAGTAACGTATCGTCCATGAAGATTATTGGCGTGATAGAGAATTTAATCGACGAAAAATAATCTCTGGCAGAAACGCGATTTAATATCTGCTAGTTGGACAACCGCGGATCCGAGGTGTGTTCGACATCGATAAAAGGACGATAACGGGTTCAATAAACACTCAAAAGATAAGAGGCTCGCACATAGGAGTAGATCTTGATCTCCTTCAAGTCACGAGTGCGTTAGAAACCGTCGCGAAAATGGAAGTCATTTTTAGCTTAAAAGATGAAATGATGGTCTCTCGGTATTTTGCAATTTTTGAATCGAAGAATTTTTTAATACAAGATAATTGTTTATAAATATATTTAATGTAACGCTTTTAGAAATTGTAGCGAGAAAGAGAGAGAGAGAGAGAGAGAGAGAGAGAGAGAGAGAGAGAAAGAGAGAAACATATTTGCGGAAACGATGTAGTGTATCATCATCCGGAATGCAATATCATGTTTTGTTAGTACCGCGATGTCATATTATCAATTTGTTCGTCAACCAGCTTACAATGCACTTTCACTTATACTTTTTGCGCAAGAACAGTTTTGCGGAAAGAACAATTTTTGCTGAAATACCTAAAAAATTAATCAGATACAGATCT